CTCAAACCTCAATGATGCTCTATCCAGTTGCGAAAAAATTCCATTCATGGCCATTGAGAATGAAGGATCGACTGAAAGGATAAATGGAATATACCGCTATGTATTGTGTCTTTATGGTTACCTTATTAATAGCCAAAAGGCACTGGTAACTCTTAAAGACATTCAAGTTTTCTTTGCCATTCTCATACCAGATGGAGAGACTCCAGATAAATGTGAAGAAAAGGTGAACAAAATTCTCTCTGGCATTGTGAAATCATTTAAAATAAAGCACATTAAAGCTTTCTCTTTTCGGGGTTATCATACTGAAAAATAGTCATATTTACAAATTTATACGAATGGTACTGGAGAGAGAAAGAAAGCCATCCAAGCTATCCAAGAAAATAATTTCGAAACTGCTTCAGATGATTTATACTCATTCCACCGAAAGGTAGCTCGAGAAAATGGAATCCAACTCTCTAGATAGTCTACAATAAACAAATATATACGTAAGAAAGGTAAGCAGACCAACCCACTTTGTCCGCATGAATTCTTCGTGTCTATAAAAGATTTCTGTTCACTAGAGGATTTCACAACAATAAGTGACTGATTCCCTATTTCAGCTCTTTTACGAGATCGCACTCTTATCCTTACATGGGATATAAAAACATATGCCTCACAAATAGGAGAATTTGCAGAAGTTCTTGAAGAGAAAAACAAGGTCTTTATAATTGATATGACATTACATTGGAAAGATGATCCAAAACCATTAAAACAAATCTGTCTTGTTGACGTTAAAACTGCACCAGACCTATGATGGGTTACAATCATATGTGGAAATCAAGTAAATTTGCTAAAAGCTTTCACTCTCTGCTGGCAAGCATTTGCCCCTGACATTCAAGTTGGATTTAATGATTCTGACTATGATTGGCATTTTATTATAGAGAAAGCATATCATCTCAATATACTCAAATGGATGTGGGAGCGAATGACAGGAAAGTTCGAAACAAAGGAAGAAATCCTAAAGTGGAAATATCGTGGAAAGATAGGAGCGAAAT